GCATAGATAGCGATTACAACAACAAAACAAAATTATAAAAAATAAAATATTGATTTTTTTGCAAATTTCTCGATTTCAGCCAATTCATATAAGTCTAATATCATTGTAATATGTTAGTTAGTTCCAAAACCATACTAAATAATACGAGGGTCTGTAAATGCCCGTTTTTGCCGAAAAGTGGCGCTGAGTAACTGGTAGCCAACGTCCAGAATGGTTCGGAGTGCTAAGGGTTAAATCTTACAACAGTTATGGTATGATTGTACTTTCGCTGGAATCGACCTCTTGTTGTCACACTTATCAATATTTTATTGTTAGTACAATAAACCATCGAGTATCCAGGTAGTATAACCCATATCCAAAACGATTTACTGTACAAATAAATGAAGATAAAGTATGGCGTTGTAACTAAGTAATCATTTAATTACCCAAGCATTCATGTTACTCTTCTTAATCCGGATAATCGAGGTTCCACTGCATTGTATTTTGCTGTTCACAATCATATGTCTGACTCGTGAGAAACCTATTCCAACGACAGCACAATTATGCGACAATCGTGGTTTTGTCATTACGATGACTAAATACGCGGACTCTGAAGGCCGAACGCGCCCAGCTTATTTCATTCACTATGGAGTCAAAGGAATGCATAAACGACACTTACTTGCGTTATGATTGTACGCTAATAGCCGCTTAACAAGTGCGAGACAAATGTGTGGAACAGGTTTGAAATCGACGGTCATGATTTTGCATCTTGGCCTATTTGATGTTGAAGGGCACGTTTGATCTTTGGTCAGATGATTTTTGCATGATGAGATCTCCGAAGTCTTCCTTTGGCACTGTGCCTGTTCAATGATTTATCGACAATGCCAGTTAGTTTTCTAATATGAATATTCAATCTCGAAACGAAATCGTAAGGTCAAGAGAGTAAGGACGTGGTAATAATTAATAATTAATGTGTGAATGTCTGTGCGAAATAAAAATTACCTGAAGTAGTCGTAAGAAGTATAAAGTCTAATAACTGCAATTTGTACTTTTTCATGAACTGACAGTAAAACTATTGAAAAATAATGTTTTGTTAAAAGAAAAGTCCTTAACCCTCAATAGTTAGTATGATAGAACACAAAACTGTCAAGATATATGAAGAATTTAAAAATATTATGCGATCGGATTCATTTGACTAAAATCATTTAAAAAGAGAAACACATTCTTACTTAAGTTTTCTTTCTTCCACTTGATTTTCAAGATTTATATTTCACATAAAGATCCACTAACTAGTACACATTATTAGTGTTGCTATGAATACGTTTATACATTTGTATTATCTATAGTTTTTCAGCAAAGAGACTCATAAAAATCATTTCATTCTAAAGCTGTTACACAAAATCCATCAAGCTCTTACACTATAACATATCAGAGCCATTATTCAAACTTCGAACATCAGCTACTAACTGCATGTAGGTACAAACATACAAGAAATATAAATTTCCTTTCACGTTTAAAAATTTATTAACACTATTTCCAAAGAGTTCAAAAGATACTTCTCAAAATCTTAAGTTAAAATTATTTTGTTTGAACCATTTTTCTACAACCAACTTTTCAACTTTACCTATAATGTCTTAAAATCAATTTGATAAGAGTTATACGAAAGACCGGTAAAAATAGTGTCAATGATGTTAATGATTCCAGTATTAGTATGGTAAACACCGGTACATACAAAAGATCGGTAAAACTAATGTTAACAACAAAGAAGTGCTAATCAACGTAGCTGTGAAAAAAATCGTAACGCAAGGAAGTTAAGAATATCAATGCATCGTTTCTCGCGATTCTTCGTAATTCCCGCACTTGATCTCTAGATTGAAGCCGATTGAATCCACAGGGAATGCGATCGCAATTAGGGTGGTGGTCTAGATCGAGAACGATTTCAAAAATCGCCCGTTTCCCTTACGTCCGATCCGGCTGCCGAAGGTGTAATTCGGACTTCCTGCCGCCTGATCATGTTAATAACGCGATCGACTGTTGCGACACGCTCGTGCAATCCTCTCGCGAGTTCTCGCGGCGCAATTACGCGCGATTCCCGACGTATCGCGCGCTGGAAGAATTTTCTCCCCTTTTCGCTTCGTAATCCAACCCGCCCCCGACGACTACGACGGCGTTGTAATTTCACGGCTTTATTTCGTTCACCTACTTAACCCAGACCGCTGCCATTTTTTCCCAGCCGCGTTTGAACGAGACGAGGATTCGTTAACGCTGCCGGGAATGTCGCTGCCAAGAAACGCGAGGCGGAAGGAACGCCCGACTCGGCGAGACCGATGTTAAACACCGTCGCGTCAGTCCCCAACTCCTTCATTACGACCTCTGAACCTTAAACGCTTTCTATCCGCGACTTTTTTCAGTCAATTGAGAACTTAAGACGCTCCCTCTGGCCATGGAACGCTGAATAATCGAAAACCACACGGCTCAGGTGTGAAGTCCTCTTTAAGGCTTCTCTTAGACATGGCCTTTCGTCTCTGGAGATGATTTTCCCCAAAGATGTATTAACACTCAGGAAAACTGATTCCACTGATAGCAGTATTAAGCAATATTTTTTAGACCAAACTTGTACATATTTTATCAGTTACACTATGTGCAGTTTCTATCAATAAGTCCACAAAAATTGTAACTTTTCCATGACTAATGGAAATAACTATGACTAGTATACTCATCATTCGTAGCTAAGAGATTCAAATGTATCATCTGAATCTATTGATCTTTTTTTATCCAACTCCTAATTGAAGTTAATCAGTGGCAGATTAGTAGCTAAATGATGTTGCCGAAATGTTGAGTTAAAATCGATTCTAGCAAAAATTATTTCACAGTTAGAGGTTTTTCAATGTATTTTTCAATGAACATAAGGGTTTCAATCGTGAACGAACAGGTATACTCCAGTAACACCACATTTATCTTTTCTTTCACAATGATTACTTAGAAGGAGATTTCTCAGCAACTTTTTTATGCGTTCATGTTTAATTCGATAGATTTCTACCGGATTTCTACCGGAAAGTTCTGTCCGATAGTGTTACTTCAAGTTTCAATCCATATGCACATGTTGATTTGCATTTACACACGTGTACTCTCCTAAATAAACTGAAACAAAGATGCCTCATGTCATTATTAAGTGAGACGCGATCGTGAAAACATGCTACCGATGATAATGCCAGACCACATGCTGCTTTGGCGACTCGTCAGAAAATCGCAGAGCTAGGCTGGGAAATTCTGTCGCATCCACCATACTCCCCAGACCTAGCACTCTCCGATTATCACTTGTTTCTCTCTTTGCAAAACTTTTTACAGAAAAAAAAATTCAAAACTGAAGCTGATGTCAACCAAGCACTAGTTGAGTTCTTCGCCTCTAAAAATAAATCATTTTTTAAAAATGGCCTTTACAAGTTGCCATCACGCTGGCAAGAAGTCATAAGTAACGATGGAAAGTATATTCTACAATAAATATTATTAAATGTATGAAAATTGTGTTATATTTCAATTAAAAAACGGACAGAACTTTCCGGTAGACCTAATATTTATGAGCTGCTTCTTCGTGTGTTCATGCCTAATTTGTTAGATTTCTAATCGTCATAACATTAAATATATACAGGAAGTATGAAGTCCTTTTTGAAATCCACATTTTGAAGAATATTGGATCGATCACATAAATTAGTAAATAGTGAAATATGCAAATTGCAAGTGTCGTTCTGTAACAGACGAATTATGTTTCCAATAATTCGATTCTGCGAAAAGCAGTCGACGCAATTAAAAATTTGCATGAGCCTCAGCACTCCGGTCACGTAACTCAGAACACAAGGCTCGGTTGATTTTCATTCAGCGCAACCTGAAGTTTCGAAGCACACGAAACCGCCCTTAAAGAAAGTAAAGAAGGAGAAGCCTCCGTGTTGAAGCTGTACATTAGCTCTTATATTCTCAAGGAGCAATTTTCTTTACCAGATTGAGGCTCCGTTTTAATTAAGCTTTCGACGGTTTCCGCAAAAATTAATACTCGAGTTATTGCAGAACTTCTTCCGAACTTCTGCTACCAATAAAATACATTCCTCCAACCAGTAGAACAATTCACGAAGATTTATTGTGCCCCGAAGCAAATCAATAACGAATGCAAATTCTAAGAGGAAAATTCTTTGGTAGACAATTCAAGAGCATAAATCGAATTATAATTGTACGATAGAACCTAAATTATGCAAACCTGCAATGCCAAAATTCTCTATTGTCTAAATACGTTTCACATGTAGTTGGCAACTCGTATAAAAAACGATTTACTCTATGACTCAAGAAAGATTATAAATTTGGCAGTGTAAATAAATAACTGTTTTCTTATCGGAGCATTTATATCATTCTATTTAAGTCGGATAATCAAGGTTGCGCTGTAATATTAGTCACCATTCTCAAAAGAAATTAGAATGTTTCCATATCGAACATGATGTATAAATACATTGCAAGTTCAGTAGGACCAAAAATATTTTATGAATTTGTCTATCCAAAGTCTGACACCGAGAGGATCTTACATTGCACTTTTAAAGCTGCTTTTCTGACCTTCGCACCGTTTGCCTCCCACAATTATACGAAGGACAAAGAGGAATTCACGGTCCTAATTAATGAGATTGCCGGTGATAGCGATAAGGGACCAGTACTATGCTCACAGTTAGAGGGTTAAAACGCGAGCCTTCTGCTTCTATAACCTGACGACCAACGCCGGAAAGTCTGATGGTGTTTCCAAATTGGAGAATCATTACTTGTCTGAGATCTCCCCCCGGGCCGCGAGGCTAAACTAATTCGCGTTTCCAGATAGCCGAAACGAGGCCTCTGGGAGTTCGAGATAACGGCAAAGGGAAAAGAAACTGGGATTGCAATTAAAACCGAAGCCTCTTGCGTCGGTTTGGATTAAATTACCCCCGTAACGACGGTCTCGTACGGTGGCGCACTAGCAATTTCGTTCCAGAGGATTTCTGCGTACTCACTCTTGCGGCGCGAGCGTGGAGAGCTGGGACGTGGGGTGCTGCAGCGCCGGTTTCTCCGCTTCAGTGTTAATTATGGGACCCTCGGGTGTTCGAAGGGCCGCCTCCATGGCCGCGGCCTCCTCCTCCTCTCGCAGCTCCTCGGACGCCTCTTCCGGGATCGTCGTGATGTCCTCGATCGGAGGCGGAAGATCGTTCCCGTTCTCCTCGAGGTTGTCCATCATCGGATCCGAGTTGTTGTCTCCTGGACGCGTCACCTCCTCGATGTCCGAGTCGATACCCTAGAAATCGAACGAACTTGTCAGTCAAAATTACCGTAACGTTTTACGTTTACCACCTGGTTCGTCTCCATCCAAGATCAATATCTGCTCCGATGCCAAAAAAGACGTGCTAAATAAAAATCAATTCTTCCGCAAAATCATAAATTCTGAAACAAGAGTATTCTTAACTTTAGAACGACCCCCTGAGATTGCCGGCGACCTCGCAAAACTTCTCTGCAAACGTCTAAATAAATACTAAAATATTCAGATTATATATTATACAACCTACAATAAAATCTTAATAATTAAAATATTATTTATTATTTTCAAAATATAATATATGTATATATATATTATATTATTTATATATATATGGTCATATGTATATATATAATAAATATATATAATATTCAGATTATATATTATATAACCTACAATATATATATATATATATGAGTATAATATAATACATATATTATACATATATTATATTTTGAAAATAATAAATAATATTTTAATTATTAAGATTTTACATTTTAGGTCGACCGCAACCCCACAATGTTACTCATACCGAAAAATAGAAAGGGTCGTTCTAGGGTTAATTCTCCAATGATATTCTGGAGTTTTTCCTTTCATATTCTTTAACGATGCGTAATAATTGCAAATTTGAAGTTTCCTGAATTTGTTTTTAATACGTGGTACTGTGGCCTTGAACTATATACCTGAAGGTACGCTAGCAACATCTTGTCGAATTTTTTAGAATTGCCCCAATGGGATATTCTAAGATGAAATAGGGCAGAATTTATACATTTTCCAAGTAATAAATTGATTATCATTCACCAGACTGAGATATCAATTTAAAATCTTATATTAACTAAAGTACTTAATTAAAGACGCACAATATTTATTGACAACTTTGGCCAACGAAAAATTCAGTATACCTCATAGATTCGTTAAACATTAAACTAACTATTCTTCAGTCTAATGTGTGTCAATTTAAAATCATATTTATCTATTCTTGAATGATTCGTTTCTCTATATGTACAGGAAGAAATTCATTGAAGGTGCAGAATAAGGCTCGATAACTTCCAATCAATAAAAAATTCAGTGAATCTCATGTAGTCATCAGTCTAAGTATCAATTTAAAATCATACCTCCTCATCTTTTATAATTTATGTAGAATAAGAAGTTAGCTAAAGACAAACAAGATTAAATCCGTGAAAGCCGCGCAGCAATAAATTCGCCAGATAATTGGCAAGGTTATGCGAAGAAGGCGGTCCATTAACAAACTTCTGCGGCCCGACAGGGGTTCTACCTTGCACATAAAATATCTAGCAAGCATTTCTTGGCGCCCTTTAAACTACCCAGCAAGAAGAAAGAAGGTCGACTCATTTGTCTGGTGGTTCTTCCATCGGGTTATCTCGGGATCATCCTCGGGATGATCCTAACGGAAAGTTCGTTCCGACGAGAGGCATCGGCGTGGGGTCGTAGTCGCCAGTTAATATTGTATTTCGTGCGGGCAACTATGACGGTAGCCATCTATCGAGGATTATCGAGGACGAAGGAACAGCTGGAGGTAGCTAGGCGGTTTTGTACCTGTGCGAAGTCCATGTAGTAGGAGTCCCTGGAGTCGGAACTGCCACGGCGAAGCCGGAGGCTGAGATCCGGCGAGCTCTCTCCCATCTTTCTTATCTGTCTGTTCCTCTTCTCTGTTCCCTGGCTGTCTCCCTCGGTTCCTCTGCTCTCTCTGGCTCGCGCTTCGCCTTCCCCAACGCTTCCCCTGCGATGCTACCAACCCCCTTTTGTCTTTTACGAGCTTCTTGCTCCACGGTCGGGGAATTCTAAAGAGGGTGGCCCTGCACACACAATCCACCGAGTTTGCAGGCTGAAAGAATCGTCCTTGAATGACAGATCGTCGTCTCGTTCTATCGTTCTCTCTCTTTCTCGTCTCTGTTCCTCCCGCGAGAGAACGGCCAGGCGAGAGAGAAACAAGAGATAGAAGAACTGCAGGCTAGAGAAGAACAAGAGTTCCTTGGTCGTCGGCGCGAAACAAAAATGCCCCGGTTGAAAGGCGAGTCGCCGAGTGGTCGTACGTGAGACAGTGAATGCCGACTCCGGAATCTCTGAATATCAAACTTCCGCTCGAATTAAAATTTTACCCCCCTGCACCCTCTGCTGCTAGCCGTGCTAGTTTCGCTCGCAAACAAGGATGTCAGTCCTGCCGCGTACGGAGTCAACGAGCCGCGTGCCGATTCCAACGGGGGTGTCAACCACCCCCGCGGGTTCGACGCTTCTTTAGGGCTCGATTCACCGCCGACGGTGCATTGTTAATGACTTCGGGAAACGGCGGCGAGCACCGAGAAGCTGCGGAGTCGTAAGTTCGCTGAAAGAACGGATCTGGGGTTGCAAACATGCATAAAATATTGCTTGCGCTCCTTCGCGAACACTGAATTTGGAAAACCTCGGTTGGTTTTAAGTTCGGGTTGTTTCTAGCTTTTGCTTCGACTACTGAGTTTTTGTGATCACAATTGGTGTGATTTGTTTCTGGGAACAGAAAAATCGGTTGCTTTCTATTTAATTAAACTGTATCAAGAGATTCTTAATATGTACTTTTCTGTAAATAATCATTTTAGAGAAACTTAGTCTTTTAAGCTGCAAAATAATAGCTGCTTCTTAACACAAGGTTGGATACATTTAACCTTTGTGAAATTTTTTTTATAACACATACTTGAATAAAGAAATTTAGTCAATCATTTTCCATAAAAGCATCTTTGTTTCCTCAATAATCCTAAGATAGCAAATTGGAAAACGGTCATTTGAACCATGATGGTGCGTTTAGTATTAATTCGTAAATTGAAATCCTCTACATATATTGGTCTATTGTGATAAGCTTCTAATAATAAACATTATCTTCAAGGAGATTCGTAGATAACTCACAACGACTTGTTCATTTACACCGCGTAGATTGAAGAATGCATGCATGAAGAAAAATTACGAAATGTTTGGCTGCTAATCATTGATTTCTGAAACAAAATTAAATAACAACATATGGATACAGCGTTAAAAATAATGGCCATTGAATTAATTAATCAATCGTACCTAGCCACATTGTGTAAAAATAAAAATGTCTTTGTCTGCATTTTCACTAGAAAATTTTTGACGTCAATTTTTGCCAATATTTCCGTTGACACTGTTAAAAAGGAGTTCTACTAATTTGTTTTGAATCAGTATGCAATAGTAGGAGGCACTGTTAACCTTTCCTGTAAAATTGCCATGAATATAAAATCCCCCTTTGTTTTAACAATTTATTAGCGATGCAGTAACTTCAAGGACTATGTACAGAAATAATCACGAAGCAAAGATGAAGTCTTTGCAAATTTTATTTTTGTTTTAATTCTTCGTGCTTTAAATGTACTGTAAGGTACCATTGTCCTTACAACTATAAGAATATAAACTATAAAATAATAAGGCAGAATGGAATTAGAGGGGCACTTACTCATACTTACATGTTTCGATATTTATTGAATGCCAACAATATGGGCAAACAATATTCAAAGTAAAAATGCCACTAAAGAACTGATTTAAAGATCATTAAGGCAAAAGCAGCATTGAAATTCACAGCAGGAGAAAGGGCTCGATCGATAGATTAATTAATAATTAATGTTTAGGGAAACCCCCCGGGCCGACCATTCCGTTTCCCTTCAGCAGATTTACGACTTTGCCCAGGTCACTGGCAAAGGGCAGAAACTTTCTGGCAGCGTTCCTCCGCAGGTAGAACGCCAGTCGGCAAGATTATCGGGCGGAGGCGCGATTCCGTTACGTCGAAATTAATTACTAAAGCTAGGAAATTCAATCGGCCGACCCGTTTGTCTTCGAGTTAATTGCCGTAGACGCGACTCCCGGTGTCGGGGTGACTTTAATTAAAACTAGGAGACGTCTCTCAGCCGGTTCTCGCGGCTCCCCACGGGATCGAACACGCGGAAAAATCTCGTTCGCGTGAACGATCTTCTTTCACGCGACTTAATTAAACCTCGCAGCCACCGACGATGTTCGAGAGAGAAAGAGAGAAAGAGGGAGGGGGGAGAGAGAACAACCGCGAAAGGAGACGTCGCGACTCTCCGAGTGAGACAAGACTTATGCACTTAACGGCTTATATCCCCGTTGTCTCGAAGTCTTCGGAGGACTTGAAGAAGCGTCTCGTTCGCCCCGTAACAAGATATGTCGTCTAAAAGCGAGCTTGCACCGGATCTATTACAACGAGCGAGCCTCCCCGCTGAAACAACCTTTCCCTGGATACAATACGAACTTCGATGCGCCCGGAATTCTGTCCTACCCATCGGCTAAACTTGAGCCGCAGACGAACCCCCGGAACCATTATTGGATATCCCTTCGACCGTTTCGTTATGTTCTCTGGAACGCCGCCGATTCCACCGCGAAATCTCTTTTGTCTCCCGGACCAAATTCTTTCGCAATTTGCCCACGATTTAGCCCGTCGAACGATTCCACGAGCTATCGGTTGTTTGTGAATGTATCCACGCGGTATTACAATTCCTGGTAGACGTCTACCGCTTATTTGATCCCTTCTATTTACGTTCATCCTCAGAAGTTTAATTCACATTTAGAACTGATGTAATGCTTTACAAATAAATTTCTCGTGAATACGATCATCAAAGTCAAAATTAAATACAGAACACCGCCGATACGAGATGAGATGAGCTAACAGATTCGCCAGACATAGCAGGTCGAATAAATAAAAGAGAGAGATGAGAACAGGCTTGTCCCCAAAGGCAATTTACGCGAGGATTAGTGCATTCTATAGAAAGTTAGCGAATATTTCGCATAAAATTCGAGGGGCCTAACAAAGCTAAGGGGTGGCGTGTCCTTCGCAGAATGTTCGTCTTCGAAGTCACGGAACCAAAATGCTGTTTCCAGCTACAACATCTTGAGAACCGAGCGTCAATGAACATTCTTCCTGTACGGACTAGCTTCAGAACGCCATTTCGCCTAGGACCCTTCCGTGGCAGGGACGTTTTATGGCTCTCGTACGTGGCATCGAATATTTCTCCATCAAATAGCACCCCGTGCACATTACGGCAATTCTACGGGGCGTGGGAGAGATAACGTGGGGTAAGACGGTCTGTATCCTTTGCAGGGCCTGAACCAAGTCGGAAATATTTCGTGGGTTCGTCCCCATGGCTATCGTTCCCCTTCTCTTTCTCTCGTTCTCGTTCCTGCGAACACTTTGTCCCTTCTCATCGCGTGAAAAATGCAACGGGAGATCCGATACCGATGTTTTTTGTGCAACTTTTCAATTATTCCGACGGAATTCTGCATCAACTATTCCGGCGATATCGCGTCTGGATGGTTGCACGTTAACTGGGGAGCTTTTGTAGCAGTCACATATTTTCTATCTATTTTTTGGTTGTAAGGATGTTATGGATAATTGAGAGTGATGGATTTGCATGCGCAGAAAGATGCTTAGGTTTTGGTAACTAAAAAAGGATTGAAAATTGTAGATCAGGTTTTCGACTGCACCATCGAGTATCATTCATTCAACTAGTTATTAATTATTACATAAAGTTGATCTAACCGGACATCTTGGAAAAGAGAAATATTAACAGCATTATTGATCGCACTGAATCTGAATTGTAAATTGGTGCAATCTACCATGATATCTAATTTAGATTCAACAAAACCACGTATCTTGGAAAAGAGAAATATTAGTATTATATTAACAATATTGACCGTACTAATCATTATACTGCGGATTTTATTGCATTCACGACGGAATCAGCAAACGGATTATTAACAGAAGTAACATATTTTTGTATATTTCGTATATTTCCGACACTTGGGGCAGAAACATTTTCATTTTGCACAAAGATCCACAATCCACTAATCGACCATAAATTATAGATTAGATCCAATCTAGTCATTTAAAACGTAAAACAGAAATACTAGCACTGTTATCATGTGAATGAATTACGAATAATAATACATTGCAATCTATTCATGCAACTCGAAAAAGAGAAGCATTCTCAGTTTTATCAATCGTGAGAATTAATTATAAACATAGGGTCAATCTAGCCACTTATCTGAAAGAGAAACAACCCTTGACTCAAATATGTAGTTAACTGATCCCACGAACAACTTAGAATTCATTACCGTGAATTGTACAAAATCTTATAAAAATGTTCAGAATGATAATTTTCATGTCACACTTTTTGCATGTGCTAGACGAACTTTTCACGACACAATTCAAGGATTGCCTGTATATACTAATGAACCATAAATTAGGAATCGTGTCTCCAGCCAAACATCCGAGCCAAATTACTCTACCGCCCCCGAAGACTTTAACAAAACGATTCAGTTCTCCTAACATTTGAAAATGCGTGACTGCGCCAAGAACAGTTCTCAAAAATGAAAATTGCGCCCAAACCTTGCTTCGCCATCCCCTAAAACTTTCGATAAAAAAAAAGTTCACTTGCTACGCCACGAGAACTGATCGCAAAACGATCCCAAGACAATTCCCACCATCGGGTGCGCGGGATTTTCATAATGCACACCCGGAAGTCTCACAACCCCACAACGTAACCACTGTCAGCGATCCATCATATCGTCAACAATCTAAATGGCCAACCTGGTGGTTAAATCGATAGGATGATTCTATTCCAGGACTCTCGGCGGTGCAATCTAGCCCGGCTAGGTGATATAGCCTCACGCTTTTCCCGGCGATCCGCAGCAACGATTTCCCGTCAGGTATCGCGTGCCGGGAAAGTCCGGCGTTTCCCATCGGGGTTCATGCACGCCGGTAGTTCATTGGCTTTCTACGTCGATAGCCAGTTTTGAATACTTTATCTGGACACGAGAGAGACCGGGGCATAGCTAGCCACTCGCCGGTTCGCCGGCCAGAAGGGCGAGATCGTGGAAACAGCAATTAACCCGGGGAATTAAGGCACGACGATATGCACAACAACCGCGGCACGATTCGCGTCACGGCATTCGGTACCCGGTATCGCAACGAGAAATGCAGTCTACCCTAATTTCTAGGCTCGCGCGATTCTCGACTTTTTCCTGATCCGCATTCTAAGCGAATGGCAGATCTAACAGCAGAGAGACGACAGAATGGCAACAATAAGAAGCATCCTCGAAATTATTGTCACTTTCATTCACCGGCGCAACTCCGACCACAACATTCGCAACCCGCGAATTTCGCATACCGTGAAATGCAGTCAACCCCAATTTTCTAGCTTGCACGATTTTCCATTTTTATCCGATGAAGGTGGAACGATGGAAACGGAGGGACGACACAATGGTAATCGGTAGCGATGGGGTCTCTTACCGGCGTCCGTTCTCCACGCAGCGTATCCTCGGCTCATCCCCCAATTCGTTTTCACTTTCATCCACCGGCTCTAGGTCCCTCCTACCCTCCCGCTCGGCGGACATCCGATCGCGGCGGCCGGCAGCGGACCCGCGTCACCTCGTGTCCGGCATACGGAACCTCCGCGGTCCCATGCCCGGCCGCTGACCAGGCCACTTTACCACCAAAACCGAAACCGTCGGCCACCCACTACTCTCTGGGAACGCGCGAACACAAGTAACCTCTGACCTCTGTGTCCGACTGCGACTACCGAGGACGATAGCGATTGGCAGCGCACGCCGTGTGCGTGCCTTGAAGAGGGTTCACGCGGGAGCCCGGCAGACAGCAGCCAGTGCATCCACCAGCACACAGTGCATTCGGCTGCACACCGCACGAGTGCACGCGGCGGCGAGCATCCACCACGCTTCGGGCCGCTCCGGGCCTTTTTTTCCTCGGGCTGTCGCGCGCGTGCGAACTCTCGCCCGCGAACGCGGAAGGGGCTCGTACGGCCGTTCGTTCCTCCTGCGTTGTGTTTCGATTAATCTCTCTCTCTTTCCCTCTCGAGCTGCCTCTCCCTCTCTCTCCCTCTTTATCTCTGTTTCTCTTTATAGCGGCCGCCCCGATCGTCGGCCGGCCGCCTACACGGCCGGAACTTGTTGAGCGACCTTGCAATGGAAAGTGTTTTCGAGCCGGGTTCAGGGACGACGACGACGCGCGATCAATCGTGGCGAGCCACCGAGACGAGCCACCGGAGTCACTTCGGCACCCCCCGAAGGGCGCGCCACGCGAGCCATCGACATCCTGGCTGAAGCAGACGCGCCGGGCTGCTGCGATAGCCCGGCCCGGCCCGGGCGGCGCGACCACAGCGCCTGCGACCGAAGCCACCCCCAGGAACGTACGTACAGAACGCCCTTTAAAGGGAACGAGATCCCATCGAGTCAGGATTATGGGGAAACTTCGTGCAGATACCGGTTTGCAAAATTTATTTGAGATTTAAATATGGATTTCTGCTGGTAATGTTTATGTAGGAGTCGTGGAAATGGATCTGAGATATGGGATGGAAATCTTTTTCGAAAAAATGCTTGGAGATTGTTGGACATTGGATGCTAAAGATGATACTATATCGCTAATTTAGGTGACGTTGGGCTCAGATGTGCTTTTACCGAAAATATTTCAAGCCTCGATTCCTGTTGAAGGGGTAGAAATTGTCGTTAAATTAGGGGTTGGAATTCTACTTCGAAGAATATGCCACACTGTAGAGAAACATATTTCAGAAAGTATCTTGGAGATTGTTGGAAGTAGAAGGGTGAAAATAAAATCATATCCCTAATTTATTGAATGTGGTGCTAAAACGTACTTATTATGAGAACATTTCACACGTCAACACGAAACAATATTTAAAGTTGGGGGTGGTATTCTACTTCGACGAATATCTTGAAAATTATTATTAGAAGAATGTGGAAATAAAAAAGCTTTTAATAAAACTATTTAACGTGTAGACCTATAGTTACTCATATTTGTAGTGGAGGAATGAAAGCAGTCTCCTACTTCGGGGATTGGAGCCCGAATTCTTAACAAACGTCTTGAAAGTTATTAAATATAACAGAATGATCAAATAATAGAAATTTGGAGTAAACTGTGAAAAAAATTTAGTTCTTGCAAAAATATTTCACACATAAATACTAACTGTTAATTTTCATACTGAAGAAGTAAAATCAGCCCCTAAACACATAGGATTGGACACCTACATATATAGATAATATAATATAATCGAATATAAAATATAGATAAATCGAAAATTTGGCATTCTTAAAGAAGTTGTACAGACTCTTCAGTAACAATCAAAGTTAGGGGATAATATTCTCTAATAATATAAAATGTAACTCATGAAAAAAAAAATCATGATTTAAACTTTACGAATTGTTTACATCCCGCCTATACAAATACCAACAGCTTAAAAATACTGGTGTTTCTAATTTTTAACGAAAATTAAAATTTAGTTAATTAGCACTTCAATGTGTTCCCCAATGTGTTGCTCAAGATATCCGATAACCAACGCAGATCTCGGTTTACCTCTTTGTTTCATGTTAAGGGTTGAAATTCGGGAGACTTTCACTGGTTTCCTTTGCCCTTTGATCTGAAACACTACCCCTAGGCCAAGTCGAATTCATACTAAATGGCCTTGGTTAGTCATTTAAGTAATTTCGAATTAGTCCTGCTGCGTTTGCAACTTTTCAAACAAATTTCAATTCACTATTTCTTGGAATTAAAAAGTAATTTCTTTTAAATTCGGCGAATCGGATGAGAATAACTTACTTCAGATTTTTAATTTCATAGTTACTGGAAAAAAATATTTTTACACATCTATTTATGCATAAATGGCTATAAATATCTCCCAAGAATATAAATATTGTGAACCAAACATACCTTTCTCCCTTTTTATGACATCTATGAACAAATCCTTACATAGAAAATATAATGAAACACTGTACCTCCGCGATGCATTTGAATCGAGCTTGCCCGGGGGTGTCTTTCCTCTAGTCACAGGCCATTTGGTGAAGAAAAATGTGTCGGAGTATGCGCCAGCCTCCACTACGTTGAAAACATAGCGTGGGCACCGTACGCTTCCGCGTGGAAAAAATCTGATGCACTTAATGGACCGGAAGAGACTGTGTACTCGATAAATTTCTGCTGTGGTTCTGTCCCGGTTATAGGAGCCACGCCCAGAAATACGGTTCCCAGTCTGTCCGGACATTCCATAGTCCAAAAAGCAGTGCGATCTTCGTACAGTCGTGACCTTCACTTGTTGCAACCGGAAAAGTTTTCCGAAGATGCACAACGGAGCTGTCCAGTCGTGTAGCATTGTTTTTATTCGTTCGCGGAACGCATTTATATGATACAATATACATAGGCGACATGAAACTTATACTTATCGCTTATAGAGTTATAGAAACGATACCGATGTATCTTCTCGATAATATAATAAAAATAATATAAGCGTTATATATATATATAATTCTCCTAATTCGTGTTTCATCTAGTATTGCAGGTTCGAACCTTGTTCCTTCAGTTTATTATATACACAATGTAAAACGAGGATATTTTCCCGTGCCCCCCTCCCCCTCGATTCACACAAAAACATTGTATCGATGTATCGACAGATCAATACGCTGTGTCGATAGGAATCTTCAGTGATAATTAATTGTCTGTGTGTTGGTTGTTTCAATTACTTTCCTACACACTTCTGCCAAGCCAACCCACCACAAGATATAGATACAATAACATAAATGGCGACCTGCAATCATCACAAAATCGTTAATATACATCAGAGCCGGTTTCTATTGAGCTAATAAGATTACTTACAACAACAATCGCGCCAATGATTACGTATATTTTAACGTTCTTCCAGAACAACGAGCGTGCCAGGTTCCTGCTGGTTTTTCTGAAGGTAACCGACTGGAAAAATGAATGTTGATAACATCCTCATTGGAGCCCCTTTTACAAAGAATAAAACTAGAATGTTACTTACATTGTCAGTTAAACGATCCGTCTTGTCTACAAGTAGTTCTAACCGCTCTCCGCGCATGGCGACACTATCAATATTCTGTACCATTATGTCTTTTAATTCATCCAGTTCTCCATGAACTTTTGATATCACGTCGATCTCATGATTGGACTCCCTATAATATTTCTGGACAAAGAAAATTAATGTCAAAGGTTAGATGTATGCATGTGCAAAGGTTAGATATATGAGTGCAAAAGGGCAGGAGTTTCTATTTACCATTTCGTTGGCTAAAATTCTGCTGAAGTCTGTGTTCATTGAGTATGCCACTGCAGTTTGTGCTCCATCCCCATAAACAGCCAAAAATCTTCTCTTAACTTCGGTAAGAAACAGAAATGCTCTCGATTTTTGAAAATCCTGGAAAAATGGAGATATTGTGGTTGAATCTTCAGCGAGTATTCCAAAATAAGTATGGTGGATTCTATGTTTACTTACTCCATCTGTAATGCACAAGTAGATAATATTGTTTTCAGAGATATAATGGAATAGGTAAGGCCCTTGAGTATACGTTAACTTATCATTTTCTGGCGGTATTTTTGCAAGGATTTTCTCTGTGACCTCTTCAAAGTTTCCTTCACAAGCAGCAAACTTTGCCAGTACGACTGGTCCTCGAGCTACTACACTGTATAAAATAGGCATGATGAAAGCTGTAACAGAGGTAAACAATATTTTTAACTTCACGGCTTCATATTTTCAATCAACAGGTTAGGAGTCATGAACCCACAACCATTGAATGATAACATTCAATTGTAATTCGATTTTGTTATCTGTTATTGTGCTGAGTAATATTCAAAACAAGACACTTCCTTTGAAATATTTAAACATTACCGAAGAAGAATAAAAAATTTGTTATTAACTAATAAAACTACTTAGAGACTGTAGCAGCTTCTAAACAAAGGCGATGATTAAAGAGGAACGTGTTGCTTACACTGGTGATTCATAGACGTAGTAATTTCTAACCTCAAAAGACTGACTCTTTATAGGAATCTTATTAGGCATGCTCTAAAATCGTTATTCAATTAAATAAAATAACAAAATGTGATAGATAAATGAAGATTTGAATTATAAAATTAAACGGTAAATAATTGATAGGATTTACCCCCGCAAAATTAGATGATGCAAACGAAGGTGTGATCAACCACTTTTTGACGACGTTGACAATGTTTTTAATAATTAGCGTTGTCTTTCCTTATAAAATATCAACTGTGAAAGCAGTGATCAATAAAAGCACTGTCACTACATAAGTAAAAGACCGTTTTCGAAAATCAAAACACTCCTTGCTACGAACGATGATTGTTATGTATATCAGTATATATAACTTCGTGTAACTGTCACTGACTACTGAGACTGAGTCTAAGCTGACAGTTGATCACTCACACTCCCTGCCACGGTGATCATTCCCAACACAGGCATGCGCAGTAACCAACAGCGCACTATTTGAAAATTCGTCTTTGAAATCCTACATATTTGAAAATAGTAAAGCAACTGCTTAATTATTCTTTTTCTAAATAATACGACGATATAAATTTAAGTCTTTCCTACATTTTGTTAATATTTTTGTCTAATAAGATGGTTATATTTATTCTTGGCAGGCATACTTTTAATGACTAATTTGTTTACGTAATGACTAATCACGATCTACGTCCTTGTTTTCGTATTCTACAAACGCAAAAACTTCCTACATCTTTTTCGAAACACAATTATTCATCTACAGTTCTGAGCAAGTTACTCTCATTTTTCTCGTTCAAACAATGAAAAACTAAATTCACAAACTTGACGGAAAACACGTATGAAGTACATAATTATCATGCAACATAATTACATCATTGTCAACTAGATTGCCAATCGCTACATCTTCATTGTTACATCGTCGTTCCCCTTATAGTTCATTGACACGCATGGTATATTACTTAAGAAGTCAATAAACTTTCGAGACACCCCCCGATTTAGGTGCAATTGTCAAACAAATACAAGAAACCGATTCAATTAGGGTTAATCAGACTTGAGTTGGAACAATCTTTTAAAACGGATTTTTTAAGATACTTCTTGTAGATATATAATAAATAAGTTAACTTAAATAATAACTTAACACTATATCTACTGACAGTTTTTTAATAGTTTATTAAAATCGAATACCGACAGTTACGAATTTCTTAACAAATTGTTCAGAAACTACAATAATCTCATCCATAATACATCAACTTATTCAGATTAATATAATGTGTAACCAGTTGTTTTTAAATTATTATTTCAAAGAAAATTATCGAGTTCCTTTTAGACACAGTTCGGTCGCTGGAAAGCCTATTTTAACACTATATGAAATTAACTGTATGTATTTTATTGAGTTAAATTAAAATCACGAGGTAAAATTGTATGAAATCAATTATTTTTTCAACATCCTTAAGTTTTGCGGATCTTAACAATATTAGAAAGTCATAACAGATTAGCGTAAATACTAATTTTCAAATCTGAGTAAATAATGCCGTTATCCACATATGGATGAGACCATAGAGTAAGATCCCATTATCCAAATTCGAATGTGTTCGAGCAAATTCTTTCTTATGAATGAGACCTGCGGTACTTTACAGCTCTGCCATAAAACGACCATAAATTTACGGTATACATACTATACCACGGGGATCCTTTGAATGGCGCGCTGTGCTATAGTTCGAATAGGGTGCGCACGTCGAAGAGAGGCCAGTCCATAGTAGTTTTCAGGTTTTGGGGCACCGTTGCCGTGTTTTCCCTTCAATGTTACTGAACTCAATCCGTGATGTCATGGATGAGCAGATCAGCAGAGTAGGGGTAGAGGGCAGCAGGGTTGCCAGGGATGCTCTCACGTTCGTGATTGGTTACGTCGCATCGGTCGACTACGCTGCCCTCTACCCCCACTCTGATGAATTGCTCATCCATGACATCACGGATGGAGTCACGTGACATTTGAAGGTATGCACGGCAACGATGTTTGGGATTTGGGAGTTGTGTGCAGTTCGATGGCTCCCCACACGTGCTCACACGTGGTCGCGCTGCCGTGAGTGCACCGACAGTTCTTACTACACGAAGGGAGGGAGCAGGTAGCAGAACGTAAGCGCGTATGTATAGATAACGGTGCCTTCCTCGCGAGCAACAGAAGCGGTTGCGTGATCCAGCCGAAGCCTGGATCACCTAGATCAGTCTCTGCTCGTCGTCGACCGGCAACTGCACGCCTTTCCGATTCTCTTCGCGTCCGACTCGTCTGCGGCCTTGGCCATGGGTGAGTATCATAATCGCCTCATGAATCGATAACCGGCTGCATTCTAGCTCCGGAGCCGCTGCGAAACCATTTAACTTTACTGTTTAATTGATCCATGTATTCGGTAAGTGTGTCAAATGATCTGGACTACCAACCGCGCCTCATTTTTTAAATCGCGTGTTCAGCCGATGCAAATCATTAATTGCGATTCTGCTTCTCCCATCCTACTTTGCGGACCGGTGTAGCCACATGTGACGCACACGCGGGTTAACTATTGTGAACTCGTCTTTCACGGAATTCTTGTGACAGCCAGATTCTGGTCTTGTGTGAATCTTCCTGTAAGATTAACATTTTCTTCATTTATTTAGTAGAGATTCATTTCTTCCCTTCATAATTTTAGTGAGTCAAATTCTTCTGACCTACTCAGTGTCTCGTTTACCAACTAGTGTGTTCAGTCCACTTATTCAGTTTCGGCGCTTAAAGTCTGCAATTTACTAGAGTCCTTTTAAAACGTTGCATGTCCGTGACGATTGCAGGATATAATGCTATTAATTAACAAATAGAAAAATCATGTTTATAACATCGGTTGTAGAAAATAGCTTCGTCAGCGAAAACGTAAGATTCCGTTTTGCTATCAATTTAAAAAAATGATGTTTTTTGTCAGCAAAATGAAAGATCTCGTTTGTGCCATCAAAATGAGATTGTTTGTTACCAAGTAAAAGGATTTTACTTGTAGTATCGATTGTAGAAAATTGGTGTTCGTTCCTGACAGATAGAAGGATTGTATTTATGGTATCGATTGTAGAATGTGCGTGTTACTGAATGAAAAGATCTCGTTTGTGGCATCGATGGTGGAAAATGGCGTTGTTCGTCAGCAGATGGGAGGTAGCATTGAATCGTTAATAAACGGAGGGATTTTTTTCCATGTGGAAGTTGACACAATCGTTACGGCGAGTTTAATTGACGCGAGGAGCTGGCTGGAGCTGGCGCCCCAGCATCCTCGTTAGAATGATTTGCGCTGTTGTTCGCGGCCCGGGGAGCGACGCCCGTGGTATTGATTCCACGGGGAAGGTCTGTTCTGTCACATCGAGCCCTTCCCCCCCCCCCCCCCCCCCCCCCCCCCCCCCCCCCCCCCCCC